TTGTAACAGTGATGGAAGACAAAAGCTTATAGCAGTGATGGAAGATAAAAGCTGGAAGATATACCAGAGAAGACAATGCTGCATCAGTTATAAACAAAGAGGACAAGTAGTGTTAAGTACAAACTAGAACACTAACAATCATACCATGTTTGTTTATAAATAAAATTTAATAATAAAAAATAGAACATTGGGAAAGAATCGATTTTTTCACACTACACCAACTGTTTAATTAAAGATGAAAAGTCAATCTTAACCAAAAAAAATTTTTTTTGCAAGAATGGTTTGTAACCCGCCTATTATGACGTTAATGATAAGTAGAAAGTAACGAAGAAAGTATCATGTACAAGCAGCAACAAAAGATATCACACCGAACTTATCTCTTCAGGCATCATGTGTAACGTGAGTATTTATAATTTTAGAACTTGTACACAACATACGGAAAATAAATATTCGTGTATGTAGTGCCAGCATGGAGCCCTCTCCTAAATACATTTCTCAACTATAAATTTTCATACCAGTGTTTCAAATTGTCTGGCAAAATAAATTTGGTACTATACTCTCTATGCAACTGCAACACAAATACCATTACTTAGGGAGTCTAAGTAGTAGGCAACCCAGGAAGTAGGGTGCTAATCAGTAAAAAACAATGTTTACTATTTATGGTGCCAAGACATACGGGTTCGAATTCTGCTCTAAAATCTGTAGTCTTGAAAACTTTGCGACTCGCGTACAATTATATTTACTTAACTATATTATCAAACACATTAACTTGAACAAATTACATAGGTTCATGACCAGATTGTCCTTCCTCAGAGATTGAAGGCATGAGCTATGAGAAAAGACTAAAGGAACAGAACCTCACAACACTGGTGGAGACGAGGTTACAATGTCCAAGATAATTTGGAGTACTACACACATTATACAATGAGAAAGATAACAAAAAGAAGAGAATTTAAATAAGAAGAGAATACTTCTTAAGTTAGAAGACGGTGCTGTTGAGGTGTTACAATGCCAGATAGTGGAGGCAGTCATCATATATTTCAAAACATACGACAGAACCAAGAACTAGCAACTGAGTTTTAAATTTAGTACTTATCAATACAAATAAGTGATTAATGAGTGGGGTCCTCCTACAAGGATTAATACTGGGACTGCTACTATTCCTGTGTATAAATTATCTACTTGCAATTAACGAGGGTTTTAAAAAAAGGGAACAGATAAATGATTCATAAAAACCTAATCAAAAAGTGTCTGTTGGAGTCAAACCCAAATAAATGAAAGGTCAAAGACTGAAGAATATAGAGAAGACTAGAAAGGATACAACATAGGAGAAGCTGTAAATACCAGTGAGAGAAAAAGATTTGGAAGGTTAATATCTCAATACACATACTGCTATATAAAATTATTGTATCAGTGGCATATGGAAGACTTCCAACCCGCACATCAGTTATAATAAAGAATGTCTAAATTTCATATATCAATTATTTTTGCAACCGGGCGACGGGGGCCGAGACCTCGCAATAGAATCACCTTCAAGCAGACCCATTATTAAGAGACATCAGTGAGCATCCCCCATCTGATCAAGCATGTGTAGAAACGAGTTACAAATGTATGCAACCAGACTAGCCTCACAACTAAGAGGAATTTACTATGAGGAGAGGTTGAAGAAAATAAAAATATGAGAAGGATAAGGGAAGATAGGGCTATGGCATACAAAATATTAAGAGAAACTGACAAGGCTGCTGGTGACAGATTTTTTAAAAAATATGAAGATCAGGTTCAGGCATCAGTTATATAAAGTAAACTTCTCACTGAGCTTCATTATTAACTCTTCCTTCCAAATGATAACGTGGAAAAACAAATGTCCAATACTATCCACAAGAGTGACATCAACACTGCAGTTCCCACCTCATAATTAAGCTATTCGGAACATTATGAGACTATACTGAAGTTGGTGTCTATTGAATTCCCGGTGGTGGGTGTGGCGCATACACTGATGAGACTTACCTTTGATATATCTTTGAAGAGTTTCTAAAGTTTAACTACTCTCGGAGCCCGGCCATGGCCAGGCTCGTCTGGTGCTTGCATGGTCAACCAGACTGTTGCTGCTGGAGGCCCGCTGCCCCACATATCCATCACAGCCTGGATGATCTGGCACCTGGTGAAGATACTTGTCCAGTTTCCTCTTAAAGGCTTCTACACTTGTTCCAGCCGTGTTTCTGATATCTTCTGAATAGTCTGGGATCCCGGATGTTGATAGTGTTCGCTTATTGTCCCCACCGTAGCCCTGCTCCTCACTGGGTTTATTTTACACTTCCTCCCATATCTCTCACTCCAGTATGTTGTTATGGCAGTGTGCAGATTTGGAACCAGGCCCTCGAGTACTTTCCAGGTATATATTATCATGTATCTCTCTCTCTCTCTTCCGCTCCAATGAGTACATATTCAAGACTTGAAGGCGTTTCCAGTAATTTAGGTGTTTTACTGGTTCAATGCGAACCGTAAACGATCTCTGTATTTGTTCCAGCTCTGATATTTCTCCTGCTTTGAACGGGGCCGTCAGCACTGAGCAATATTCTAAGTGAGGGAGCACTAGCGATCTGAAGAGTGTCACCATCGGCATTATTTCCCTTATTTTGAAAGTTCTCAATACCCACGCAGTCATCTTCCTGGCTGTCGTGATCTTCGTCTTATGTTCCTTAAAAAAATAAAAGGTCAGCTGACAATTATTCCTAAGTCTTTTACGTGTTCCTTTCGTTATATTTGGTGACCCTCTTGAGTTTTGTATATAGTTTTCCTTTTGAGTTCTTCATTCTTTCCATACCTAAGCAGCTGGAACTTATCACCACTGAACGTCATGTTGTTCTCCACTGCCCACTGGAAAACCCTGCTTATGTCTTCCTGTAATTTTTCCGTGTCCTCTACCGTAGTGACTTTCATGCTTAGTGTCTGTAAATGATATAAAAGTGGAACGGGCCGGTTTTGTACTATTCTGTGAGGATGAGACCAGGGCCTGAAGTAGTGCCTATGAGGAATGAGCTTTGACTGTGGACTGGATTGTTCTGTTTATCTATGTCTGTTGGTGTTAGGAACAGCAGATGCGAATCTAGGCACTGACCTTCCTCGTGAATGCTCGGCTCTTTTTGGTTTCATTCCATTTTGATTTGTGTTTGGAACTCTGTAAATCCATCTTGCTTTCCCTTCTGTCCAATGCATGCCTCCGGTAAACAATTCTGTTCGCAATGGTTTCTGTGCATGGTTAGATGATAGTCCTGCTCTAAAACCATTTTGGTTCGGGTTATGCTAGTTGTGTGTGCACGAAGCCTACACACACACTCCTGGAACACGAATACACTTTCTAGGCACAACAAGAATAATGCTGGCATCATTCACAGGTAATAAAACAGGCACACCTAATGACGGTGTTTGGAGGCTGCATATACATAGAGACTTACAATACCAACAAACAGAACCAAGAGGCATTGCAAAACCTCTAAGTAAACTTATCTGAAAAATTCTCCAAAACACGTTGTGCAACATGAGAACGACACCATCTCGTCATCCAGTACTTGATTACGGCTACAATAACCTCACCTTTTTTGTATATACATTGTCATGTTGCATGCGTCATGTATTGACTATCAAAATCACTGTTTGGGTGAAACATCTTTAAAATAAAAGTTTTACCTGCAAATTGTTTTCTTCTACAAGGATTCACATACTGGATATGGAAGCAGAAACCGAAAGAAGAAAAAAAAGTTAATTGACTTTTTAAGATTTTAAGCAAAGGGAAACTGACCCTTTAGAACCGGGACCCCTACATGTGACCAGAAACCTGGAGAACAAAATTAATGAAGACAGACATGAAAAAAATGTAATTCATCATGTAAAGGAAACAAGAATGAGAGAAGAAAATAAGCCGGCATGAATTTACCTTCAACTACATAGCACATAAATCACCTATAGTGAACCACTATGTCCAAGCCACCCACCCTACTGTACAGTACTTAGTGGAAATGGATTTGAAGAACGCTAACCCCGTATTGGTCATTCATCACTTGGGGAATGGAAAAACAGATTCCACCCAAGAGAATCAGGTCCAATTCCTCATATCAAGAGTCCCGCATCAGCATCAAGGAACCTCCTCGAGAGAAAATGGAAGGAAAGACAAACAGGAAACAAGATTATAATAAAAGATTAAGAATATATGAGGAATTTATTGAAAGGAATACAATGGGAACAGAAACGGAATGGTAAACAATAATAATAATAGATACAAAAAAGGAAATAAGCAGAACAGCTCTCAGCGAACATACAAGAATACGAAGGAAACTGTAATGTCTTCAAAAATGATATAAGAACAAAGGGCAAAAGAGAAGTCTAGTTACCCCACTGCCACATAAGGAGGATGATTAGCAAAGTTAGAGTGATAAGGTTGAGGAAAGATCGAGCTTTCACAAACTATGACAGCCACAGAAAAAGTCATGAAACCATAAAAGAAACTTGACATACATATAATCAATGAGAGCAGACAACTTATCCACCACGAGTACTGAGAGAGGAAACAATGTTTGATCCCATAGCGTGGATTTTCAACCAATTGATTAAAACACGGAAGCTGCCAGAAAACTGAGAAAGAGGCAAGTGTGGTACCTATAAATAAAAAGGGACACCGATAGGTCACTGAACGCTAAACAGATATAATGGACATGCATTTTATCAAACACTTTGTAGAATATTGAATGAAGAGTGATATTGGAGCACCTGATAAAGAGGACTGTTCAGAGAAACACAATACAGATTTTGAGACAGAAAATCTTTGATATTTTCTGACAAGTCACAAAGACAGACTTATGGGTGGTATGGGTGGACTTTTCCTCTAGTGCATGTAATCATTCGACACCAAACATCCTGACTATGTAAAATTATTGACTGAGACAAGAACAAGAGAGGGCTCCATACAAGAAGACATGGAGAGACTGCATTCACAGTCCAAAAAAAAAAAAAATCCTGATAATTGTCAAACAAATGTAATTTTACGTGGATTGGACAGAAGATCAACAACAGAGTCCAACCCAGGTAAAAATCTGCACATACCATTAAAAGTATCTGGAGATTAACATCACAAACCTCGCCGGAGACGCACATCAGCGGCATATGAAGCACCAGCAAACCTCAAAACACTTAGGAACCTGAGGAGTCCTTTAGGATTTTTATATACAATACATGCTAGGCCAATTATCAAGTACATAGTTACAGTGTAGAGTCCCCACCTGGGCAAACATGAGCAGAAACTCTTAAAAGGTTGAATTTTGCAAATATATCTGTCCCGGAACCGAGAGGAATGCACTCTAAGGCGAAGTTGAAGGAACTGAACCTGACGACCTTGGCAAAGGACGACGACTAGGGAAAGCATGATAACAACGCCTATAATTTAAGATGACTTGTTCATGAAGACAATGAAAGACTATTTGAGCTGTAAGGGCTAGGGACTGAAGGACGGGTGGAAGCTCAAAACACACATGATTCTTAGGGATGCTAGAAAGTACTTTTTTATTCTTGAAGTGATAGAAAATTGGAATGAGATGAATGGGAATTAACAAATTCGATTTCCTGTTTCAATAATAGGCCAATAATCAGTAAGGCTAATCAAAAGTAATTCAAGACGCTGGGTCAGGAGCAGAGAATCCACCCCAACATTACATCAATGAGCGTACAGAAAGAGATAGAAGGGAATTTCTGGGAAAGAGCTACTTCGGGAAAACAAAACAATAAGTGTAGAGTTACTTACCATCATCAGGATCAGGAGGGATTGGGTTAACCCACTTGGAAATGCGTAGTGTGCCAGGTTGGCGTCGTGTAGGACGCACCTGCCCCATATAAGCTGAGGCTTCCTCACCCTGGTAAGCTGCGCCTTCCTGATATGCCGTCTCTTCTTCCTTATAACCTGGGTCTTCACCAGATGCAGCTTCGTGCTGGAAACGCTGGGAACTAGCTTCACTTTTCTCTTGAGAAGGTTGTGCTTCGTGTGCGCCCTGGTACCGCGATGGTCCTGGCCGAGGACCAAGAGGTCTCTGAGGAAATTGCTGTGGCACTGAAGAAACTTGTTGGGGTGGCATCACTACCATGTGACTTGGAAAGGATGGTACATGCCCCACTCTTGGAAAGTGACGTGGTGGAGGGATCATAGGTGGGATCTGGTGCATTGGTTGCCCCAGAGAAGTGCCATGGAACACAGGTCGCCCCATCAGTGAGCCCTGAGGAGGTGGGTGTCGCATCTGTTGTGGGCCATGACCTGGTGGTCGAGGTAAAGGGTTGTGAGGTGCGCGTCTGGGATTTTGGTGTGATGGTGGCCTAGGGGGTGCGTCTTGAGGTGACTGTTTCGCAGGACTCAAGGACGGGCTTGGTTGAGGGCCTGCAATAGGAGAGCTACCAGGCAGATCCTGGCCACTTTCTGGCTGGGGCTGTGTCGCCGGTTCCTGGTCACTTACTGGCTGGGGTTGTGTCACCGGTGTGGATTTATCATTTGCTTCCTTAGGAGAGACTTTTTCTATTCCATTTGTTCGAGTGTGATGTAGAGGCAGGTCAAGCTGAAGAGGTAATGGATGTAGGGGTTGTGGCTCAACTGTAGTCTCACCTTCCGCTTGTGGTGCTGGCGAAGGTGGCGGGGAGGTGAGTGCCATTTTCACATGACTGCATGGATCACTGGGCAGGTCAAGCCGAAGAGGTTGCGGTGGGTGAGGGGGTTGTCTCTCACCTGTAGTCTCACCTTCCGCCGGCGGAGGTGGAAGCGAAGTAGCCATCTTGATGTGAATACTGCATACATCACTAGAGACTGAGGTTTCCTCAGAAACTTGTGTTGGAGAGGGTTGGGTCACTACGGGTGTGGGTGAGAGCTCGCTCTTGGACTGCAGTTGTGCTTGTGCCTGGGTCTCCGGCTCCATGGTTAGCGTAGCGGCTGCACCCGTCATGGCAGCAGTGTCTTCCTGCGTGGCATGACGTGAGTCCTGCATGGCCCGGCCACTAACACCACGACTGGTGGTCACGGCCACTCGCTCTTCTAGCGAACACCTGACCACTAACACGTCACGGTAAAGTAGGTAGACCAGGCCACAGCATAGTTTGCACGGTACTACTGAGGTAGCTCTACACACAAGCTACACTCTCAACCTGCTATCTACAGTGTTTCTCACAGATATGTACACTAACTACACTTTAATTATTTGAAGTTTTTCTATACTTACTCATGCGTCATTCACTAAGAGTTTTTAATAAGAATTTATTCTCATATAAACACGCTGTAGGGAAAGTAAATACATAAGTGAGCATATAAAGGAAGAATGTGCGAACAAGAAATAAAAAATTCAATTTAATGGGTGGTACTGACACTGGCAATCTGCCACCTAGAACATTCCAGAAACAGCCACTGCTGCTTTCTCAGAGTGGCTATCATGTAACGCAAGGTATTCCAAACTTCCGGTGGTGGGCGGTAGACGTGGGCGTAGGGTTGGGGAGGAAGGGGGTCAACCTGGCCACATCACCAGCTAAGCACCAGACCATCAGATAATACTAGTTTGCTACTTCCACTTTTTGCTACAGTAGCGGTTTACGCTACACTATGTTACCAAGGATTACCCTGGCAACATACTTGAAGTTAACAATGCAAGTACACGTACGGTTCAAGCTAGATGACAAGGAAGGAGCACGAGGAAGTATGTACGTGCACGCTGGGTACATCAAGCAAGACGTGTAAGTCACTACAGTGTCACCCTTCACGCAAACCAAACTGTGTACTTTGGTGTGTGTGTGTGTGTGTGTGTGTGTGTGTGTGTGTGTGTGTGTGTGCTTGCGCGCGCGCGCTTCCGTCCGCCCCCCTTCTGGGCCACTGACACATACGGCCTTCTCTTATCTATTCTTATCCGTGGTGTGAGTGTTAAGAGCAAATCTAAACATGTCATGAAGGCCCCCGCCTACCCGGTCACAGCGGTGGCCTCAGGGTTAAGAAGCTGTGAATGAGAGAGTGATTCAGTGGTGCAGGCACGCGGAGATTGTCACCCGCCAGAGTGCCACACTCCTTACTCACTCGCGCGCGCGCGCGCGCACACACACACACACACACACACACACACACACACACACACACACACACACACACACAGCTACTGTACACCAGCCTCCCTTTATCACCACTTACACCAACCTCACTATCACCACCCTCCCTTCACCACACCTACACCAGTATGGTGGCATACCAAACAGAATGGTATACCATCAAATTAAGAGATTGATATACCATCAAAGAAAGGGAATAGTATACCATCAAAGTAAGGGAATGGTATACCATCAAAAGGAATGGTATACCATCAAAGGGAATGGTATACCAGCAAAGTAAGGGAATGGCATACCATCAGTAAGAGATAGTGTACAACGGGAATGGCTGGTGGGGGCTGAGTGGGAGGGGGGAGGAGGGATAGTGTGGGAGAACCTGTTTCCCAGGACTGGACTAACTGGGAATACCTGGTAATTGTTGGTGGGGGTAGGAAGGATAAAGATTTTTATTGACTGACTACTACTACCGTTAGTTTAGTTAGTGTGTGTGTGTGTGTGTGTGTGTGTGCGCCCCCCCCCCCAGCACATTATGTACTCTTATTTACACTATTTTTTCCGGTTCCTTAAAATGGAGAGCCGGTGCTTCAAGGTCTTTCAAGCACATAGTTGTGTTTCCAGAGTATCACACACACTGCTCTTCACTCCGCCTTTTAATATACCTCCCGCCACCCATATTTAATGACTCCTAGGTTCAGGGACCCTATCGTATCTGTTATTGAAGCTGTATATGAGGTTTGCTTCCGCCATTGCAACGTGTACATCTGGAAAAGACCCGGGTCGAGACATATACCGGCGATACATACTGTTACCTTGTCTAGTTTATTCCATTTCTCTTATCAATCTAAGAATAAAGAAATACTTCTTATCGTCTCTGAGGCCCACCTATACCTCCTTCCTCCCAGTTTTAAACCTCAAGTATATCTCTATCTACCTTGTCAATTCCTCTGCTTTCCAAGGTCGTCAGGTCTGCTTATTTTAGTCTCCCCTCATAGTTCATCCCTCTCCTTTCGACGACAAGTCTAAATAGAAACATTTTGAGTGTTTCTAACTGTACACTTGTTTGATCAGGTGGAGTGCCCACGCTTTGTTTTGTACACTCTACTGTATAATGAACATTGGGTGCAGCCTGCTTAAGCGAAAATTGTTGAATGTTGTTCCTAGGGATGCTAGTCTGATACAGCATAAACTCTGCCACATATTCGCATCTCTGTAGGTATCAATGGCGTCGTGCCTTAACAACTATAAAGGCACCAATTATTTTACAACTTCTAGGCGAAACAAAATACCACACTGAAATTAAAGAAAGAATACTGTATGACTTTGACAATAATTACGGTGAATCAACAGAGTTAATACAACACACTGCTACCACCACCAATACTCCGACCACCACCACCAACACACTGCTACCACCACCAATACTCCGAACACCACCAGCACCAAAACCAACACACTGCTATGACCACCAATACTCCGAGACACCACCAAACCCAACTACCACATCTAACTACCACTCTACACCAATAAATATCACATAACACTACACAACATGCTCACACCAATAACACAATACTCACACCACTAACACTGTTCACACCACTAACAACACACTGCTCACATCACTAACATATTGCTCACACCACTAACACAAACACTGCTCACACCACTAATACACTGCTCACACTAGTTAGGCTATCAAAGTCATAACAGAGGCCAGTACTTACTCGCCACATCTTACCTCTAACTAGTGATAACGTAAACAAGTAGGTGTAAAGCTTGTCACTGTAGCATTCCTGTATTTCCCCTACATTATCATTCCCTTAAGGATGTTCTCGGGGGTCAACGCCCCCGCAGCCCGGTCCCAGACCAGACTTTCTGATCTCGGAGGTACGGTGATACATTAGCTTCAAGAGAGTAAAGATTCAAGACTCTTCACATAAACTTGTATTATGTGCGCGCTTATTGTTACAACAAAATGCAACTGCTCCGTCATGAACTGGGATTTTGAACCTTTACATATGGATATGAGACTCGGCGAAGTGATGCCTATGTGAGCAACAAGTAGCAATAACTTGACTGAACAGAGGCAGTCCTATGGGACGTAAGAGTCTTCCCAGCCTGGTTATGTCACAGGTAGGGGGAGGTAGCACAGTACACAACCAGGTACTCCAACATTTCAGGCACGTTATTTTCCTGAGAATGAAGTCATGTGAATTGAATACAAACAATTTTAAGTGATGTACGTGGGGTCGGCAGGAGCGTCAGCGCGAACAGGAGTAAGGGCGCGTGCGTGTAGCGTGAGTATAAGTGTGTGAGATGGTGTATTACCCTGGTGGCACAAGATGCTTCACTGACACAATGTATCAAGCTCACACTCACAACTGCTGGCCAGTGAACACTGCCCCGCCTCCCTCCTCCACCACTCCCTATCTCTGCTCTCACTACGTCACACACTTAGTCACTCCCGCTGACGATGACCTCACCGACACGTCACCGACACGTCAACATGCCACGTGGGACGCCGAGCGCTCCACTTAAAACAGAATGAATCACAGGGAAAATTGGCACATCGTGGAAGCGCCTCATGATGCCCACTTGGATGCCCTCCCTCACAAGAGAAGTTCCCTAGCATGATAGTAACAAGTGTTCAGAGGCCGGTAGCAAGTGGTGTCTTGGGTCACGCGCGCACCCAACTGCTACCTCCACACTACTCATATTACACCACATGTAATGATCACACCACCTCCAGTAGGAACACATGAGGAAGAATAAAAGGGAGGGGGGAGCAGAGAAGGTACCAAGAAGACGAAAAGTGAGTTGCAGCATGGAAGAGAAGGGAACAATAAAAAAAAAATCTATGAAAAACGAAGAGGAAATGAAGAGGTAGACTCCGGTAATTATAATGGTATAAACCTTGGTAATAAATACCGACAAGTTGGTGTAGAAAAACACGTAAGCAAACACTAGAACATATTAGAAAACGTTTCTGTCCTGGGACCTTGATCAAATTCCCAGAACCGAAACGTTTTCTAATATGTCCTGGTGTTTGCTTACGTGTTTTTCTAGACCAGTAATTATAATAAATACCTTAGACACTAAGGCCGAAATTACTAAAAATTCGTTAAAACGAGCTTCATTTAGCAGCATTCCCTAAGACACAGGAGCACCTACAAGTATGCAGATATGGATAAGTTTGTGCCATATCTTGAATATACAGAGGAGCGCCAAACACGTGCGTCCTGTCAGACTGTATAATTTGTAGCCCGTCTGTAGGGCCCAACTGATCTGCTACTTCCTAACAGTATATCGGTGTATATGATTCAAGAAGACTACCATGTGCAAGATCGATTGAAAGAGAGCTAGATAGAGAGAGGAAAAAAAAGATGCCATTTAAATTAGCTCTCGTATTAAATTATTCTAGATTAACCTAATTCTATGTTAATTTTAGTGGAAGTTTTGTTGGTACAACTATGTAAATACAATGCTTGTAAATCAAAGTAAAGATGAAACTCAACCTTGAAAACTCGGAAGACGACACAGAAAAATTGCAAGAAGATACAGCAGAATCTTTCGGTGGCAGAAAACAACATGGCGTTCAATGATGACAAGATTCAACTGCTTAGTTATGGAAAGAACAAAAAACTCAGACACTGTATACAAAACACAAGAGGTGCGACAAGTAAACTAAGAAGAATGTGAAGGACCTGGGAGTAATAATGTCAGCTGACTTTTCTTTCAAAGAACACAATAAGGCAAATGTCACGACGGCCAAGAAAACGATGGTATAGATAACGAGAAGTTTTAAAACAAGGTAATTAGTACATATGGTGACACTTTTCAAATCGCTTGAGCTCTCTCGCTTAGATTATTCAGTATTGACAGTTTCTTTCAGGGCAGGAGATATATCAGAGAGGGAACAGATTCCAAGACTATTTACAGCCCGCAAAGAGCCAGTAAAGCATTTAAACTTACTGGGAATGCCTCAACGTTCTAAATATGCCCTCTCTAGAGTGGACGGGAGATATGGTAATACGTGGAAAGTACTTGAGGGCCAAGTCTCAAATCTACACACTACCATAACATACTGGAGTGAAAGAAATGGGTGAATGTGTAGAATAAACCCAGTGAAAGGCATTGCGCCGTGGGCACAATAAGAGGACATTGTATTAAGATATGTGGTCTGAGACTTAACACATCTTGCCACAAGATATCAAAGACTGCTAGATCAAGTACAGAAATCTTCAAGAGGACATAAACAAGTTTATCCACTAAGTGCCTGATTAACCTGACTGTGATGGATATGCGGGCAGCCAGCAGCAACAGCCTGATTGACCAGGCAAGCACCAGACAAGCCTGGCCCTGTGCCAAGCTGCGAAATTAAGTAAACTCTCGAAGCTAGTCAAAGCAAAGATGAACTAACAATTCTAGGTAAACCAAGAGCACGTGTCTGCGTAAGTGTGTACGAAATGAA